CTTACCAATGTCAATATCCTGGTTCAAGAGTGTTTTGCAAGATACGACCTGTGGGGGGAACTAGGTAAAGGTACATGAGACTGCTCTGAATATTTCTCCAACGCCTATGAATCTCCAATTACCTAAAATAACATTTTAATTAAAAGATGAAAACAAAAAAATACATAATACCTCTGAAAGAACAATACTAAAAGCTATTTCTTTATCAGGAAGATAAACATAGAAAACAATGCAAAGATAAGTCAAAGAGCTGTAAGACAATAACTGGCAGCAATAGATTAATTTTCTACCAAAAATATTAATCAAAAGTAAAGTTAAGGAAAATTTCATATTTAGGAAAATAAAAAGTGAAGATTTATAAGCAAAAGAAGACACACTATGTAAAGCTTTACTTTAATGAAAAGGAAAATAACTGTGTGGCAGAAACATTAAAGAGTAAAGCAATCAGTAAATATTTTGGTAAAGGTCAATGATTAAAGAATGAATAAGCAACAAAAAAAATGTTTTCTGGAGCTAAAAATATACAGTGTGCATAGCCTAAGTAATCATAAGAAAGGATGGAGGTAAGTGAAGTTAAAACATTCTGAAGTCCTTAAATATTAAGAAATTGATAGTATTTATTAATATAATTTAGCTAATTAAATGTACATTAATAATAAATATTAATATTGATGTAGTTGATATTAATTTACAGTATATTTTATGAGTCAACAATGCATGTGTAATCTCTAGATTAGTTGATAAAAATAGTTAAAAGACCATGTAAAAGTAGCAAAAGACTCATGTAACTAACATGTAACTATAATAGTAAAAGATCATGTTACTAACAAGCTAATAGAAATTAGAATTTGAAAAAAAATCATGCCAAAGAAGGCAATGTTTAAAGTGCTATTTACTGACTTAATAACAAAATGTTTACTAACATTAAAATATTCACTAATTTACAAAACGTGTGTGAGATTTTCTATATTTATAATACAAAGTTAAAGAGAAGAAATGTTCCATATAAGACCAATCTTTAAGGATTCTAGATAGATATTACAAAATTAAAATATAATCCTAGTAAAATATGCAGTTTATAACCAATTTAATAGTTCACAACATAATCTTGAAATTTTGTGTAAAGTTAGTAAAACTCAGAGTTAGAATGAAGACTTTTCATGTTTTCTGTTGAGATACAGTTTTGCCTCAACAAAATAAGCAAAGTAAGGTAAATATTTGGTACATATAATTTTCATAAACAATATAATGGTACTTAAAAAGACAAAAGTAATAAAAAAAATGGAAAATATAAAGAGCAAATACACAATATATAATTTAAAGTGTCATTAGTATTTAGAAGTTAAATAAAACCACCCAAAATACTCAAATTGAAGATGCCTATTATCAGACTAGATTTAAAAAATCAATTAAAAAATGTTGCTTATAAGAGATACATTATCAATATAAAAAGGAGAACAGTTTGAAAATAAAAATCCAGAAAAGTATTCAAAACCATTAAACTAAGGGATAGTTATATACATAC